ATGTTTCAAAAAAGAAAAATAACAGAACCAAAGTGATAAAATAATCTCAAAGTGACACAAACATAAAACGAATTTTTCTTCAAGCCCTCCGATGAAAAAAGTAACAAGCCGAAGAGTAAACAAAAAAAAAATGCATGATATCGATTAAAATTGTCGGTCGAAGAAAATAAGACGAAATTGAACAAATAATCGAAAAAAAATGAAATGTTTTTTTTCTTTATTTGTCGAATCGAAGAAGTTCTCTAGGCAGCACATTTCTCGGGAATTGGTTTTTTTTCGCTTCGTCCAAATAAAACTCAACTACATCGAAAGGTAATTCATCAATTACGCGCGAGAATGAGAGGAATGTTGAATGTGTGCTCACACGCGCTCGCCTCAAATTTATTGGAAATGATTAAAAACATTCATCTTTTGTTATTGTTCCATCACATTTTGTGCCTCGCGACTGTCGCCACTTCAATTTCGTTGGAAGTCATAATGTGAACAATTGTTAATTATTCAAAAACGAACACTTTATGGGCTTTCTTGTGCTTGTCGACAAGTGCGAGTCTCATTTCTTATTTGGTTTGCAGTCGCTCTCCCTCCCTCCCTCTCTTCTCTCTTTGTGTTTATCGTTAATTCCGCCCGAAAATTCCCGTTCAAACGAAATGAAACGAAAAATCGTGTGCTGTAATTATCAATTTCCAGTAATAATCGAGCCAAAAATTTATTGCATCACACCGTCGCCGACGCTGATGCTGCCACGTTTGTTCATTGCTTCATTTATTGTCTGCGCGTCTTGATCGTGCTTTGTTTCAATTGAAGTTTTGGCTTGCAGCTGTATAACACTTACGTAATTTATTCTCGAATTGCGCGCGAGCGAGTGAGCGAGTGAGCGAGCGAGCTAAAGGGAGAGAGAGAGGGAGAGAGAGAGAGAGAGAGCGTGTGCTTCGCCGCCGCGAAACAACGCGAGTTTAAAGTTTTAACGCTGAATTTTCAATTATGAGTGAATTAAGCACAAAACGCCAAAGTTTATGAAGAACAAAAGATTCCACGGAAAATAGGTTGGTGGCATCTTGACTATCGTTCATCGTGCAGGCATAAGCATGAGCGAAGAGGAAAAAAAAAGAACAACGACGACGACGACGGCTTTTGAGACAAAGCAAAGCAAAACAAAAAGGGAAAGAAAAACTCAAGTTCTATCGCATTCCGACATAGCACCAAAGTAGAGAAAAAAAAATTATTCATATTTTTCGTTGAATGTTCTGACTGAATTTTTTTTCTTCTTTCATTTCATTTTCGATTTAAACTTTGCATAAATAATTACACGATGCTCACCACTTGCCGTGTGTATTGTCTGTGGAAGACGCGGCATTTCAATAAATACATAAGCACTGCATAAACACGACTTTTTGCCCTTCGGCTAATTTATTCGACATCAATTGAGACCTCAAACGGGCGCTCGCGCGCTTCCAATAAGTCGCACTCGTTTTCATTTGTGTTCGTTATGACAATCAGCAAATTTGTGTATTCAATTAACAATCGATAAACTATATTAATGTATGATTAATAATCATGCATCTGATTATGCATTTTCATGGTTGTTAATTCGCTTTGCTGGTTCGACGGTAGAAAAATATTGGTGTCAGCCAAAACCTGTGCATTTCATCAATTAACGCTAAGTGTATGGAAGTATTCGCTGTGGCTCTGTGCGTATTTTTTTTTTGCGCTGTATACCAAATCCGAAATTGTACGGTGAAGCGGTTGTGTGCTCCCCGCATCGTAATTTACGATATTACTACATATTTCAATTAATCAATAGTTTGGTTTTTGTTATCTTGCTCGTTGTATCTTCTCGCAATCATAAATTAAATGAGTTGAAACCCAATCAAACAAATCAAATTCGAATCTTTTTAATGAAATTGAAATGTCGGCCAAAGCGAAATGTGATACGCTCCAAATCGAAATCAATTGAATGGAATTGAATTTTTGGGCAATTATGCGTGCGCGCACGCAGCCAATTGCGCTGAGTTGGGTTTGTGCGGCTTCTGAAATAGATTTCAATATTTATACGTATAACAAATAACGGGCTGATTGATATGGTCGCGAACGCACTTAAATCAAATCAAACCAATGTAGTGATTACATTTCAATTTCCACCAAAAATATTTGGTTATGGCATTTCATTTATTCTATTCGATTCATCGTCTGGAACAACGCGCGCGGCAAGCTCATTGTTGTTTTTTTCCCTTTCGAATTCAAAACCCAAATTGAGAATCCATTCAAACCAGATGCATTGGCTGTGTGTGTGTATGTGTGTGTTTCGCATTTTTATTTCTCAGGCCTCGTTTTAAATGGACATTTATTAAAATCAATTAATTATTTTGCTAGGGAAAACAATTAAATTTTTATAGTTATCGTCGGTTTTTTTTCGTCATTCGCTGTTTGAACACACAATTCGAATGAATTATGAACGGAAGGAACAAAAAAAATTGACATCAAAAATTATAAATTGCCGTTAAATAAACGGAAAATGGTATGTATTAAGAAATGAACACAGACATCAACGGAAAAAAAACGCTCGCGCGCACACACAAACTCTTGACATTGTGATGATCGCCCGCTCGCTCGAGCAATTGTCTCATACTTTGCGGGGGTTTCTCAAAAGACCGTCCGCATTTTTTTTCTTTCTCAACTCTTCAATAATAAAGTCATCGAGTTGATTAACGAATTGGTTGAAATTGTGTACGTTTTTATCAATAAAGAAAAGAAATGGAACGATAAACGAAAAATGGCCCGGAATTATGATGTGTTTTTTTTTGTCTGTGTATTTGTACAATGAGTGAGAGTCTATTGAAATACAAATAAAGTCATTTACTAGATCAGAACGCGAACGAGAGCAATGGTTTGTTGAGTGTTTGGGCGATGGGACTTCGGGACACACACACACACACACACACACACGCACACACATCATAAACCATTATAATGTATGCTAAATTAAATAATAACTGTGTACGGCATTTCGCTTCAATGAATTTATTATTATATGTGTATTTTCAGCTCTTTGACTGAGAGTACATTTCACTGATGGAAATTATGATGTTGATGATGATTTTGATTTGTCGATCGCATCCATTAAGCCACTATTCTTGAATTACTCTCTCTCTCTCTCTCTCTCTCTCTCTCTCTCTCTCTCTCTCTCTCTCTCTCTCTCTCTCTCTCTCTCGTGTAATTATCATGGTTTGCAGACGAGGATTTTAAATGCAGTGCTCATGTTATGTGTGTTACTCTGGTCGTTCATGCTCTTCGCATCGGATACGCATACAATATTCAATTTATCAACACGAAACAACAATAACAATAGACACAAAAAAAAATTCGTCGTTGCGAAAAATGTCAATTGTTCGATGTGCAACAATGCCTGTCATTTTTGGGGAAAATTGCGCACGCATTCGGTATAACAACCAACTGCATAATATTCTCGCCAATGAATACATCTATTTTTACATGAGTGTTTTTTTTTTAACATATTCAATAATAATAATCATCATGCATTACATTTGCTTAAAAGCGTTTTACAAATCGCTGGAACCAGTGTTAATCTAGAAAAGTGAGAGCTCATATATGAGATGAGCTTGCGCGCGCGCGTGGTCGCGCAAGTAGATATATGCCCGATTTCAATGCGTGCGTGTATCACCCATTGCTCACTCTCATGCTGATTTCGCCACATCCAATCGGATGGTTTTGCTTTTCTCTCGTGTGTGCTCTGCGTTTAGTGACACAAAATGCGGGTGTTTTGTTTATTTCTCTCTCTCTCTCGACATTTTTTTTCGCTCGTATTTCATTCAATTCGAAATGACTCTATCAAATTACACTGGCTAAACGCGTGTATATTTAGTTTTTATTTGCTATCTATTAATACTAATATTTTCTCTCCCGCTCTCCCCGATGTGTGTTCATTTGTCGCCGCCGCCGTCGTCGTCATTGCCGTGGTTGCATTTTCATAATTTTCAATAAATAATTTAATTCGAATGTAGTTGGGCCGTGATTAATATCTCAATTCGATTTACGGGGCATTTATTTAATGGTTTTATTTTTATTTCGGGATTTTCAGTGTCTCATTCGTGTATCTGGTGGACTGCAGCGAATTTTCAATTTATGCGCGACGCGAATGCGTTCGCTTGCATACAGGCCGAACAATTATTATTGATATAATCATCATTTATTATTATCAACTCGGTCGAGCCGAACCGAACGAGTCGAAAAGAACGCACAGCGCGCCGCTTCGACAGATTATTAATTTCGTTTGCCGACTGAATGCCGTGCCGTGTGTGGATAAAATGATGAGAGACACAGAGTGAGATAGAGAAAAAAAAGGATGAACGGCGGGAAGCGATTGTCTGTGCATCATCATAAGGGTCTAATTGTGTGAATTTTTCCAATTGAATGAGAAAATAAAAATTTTGTTGCATTTTTTTTTTCTTCTCTTCGGTTTGTTCAATCATCCACACGATGGTTATGACGGTACCGATGATAAATTTAAAATAATTACGAAAAATGAAAAAGCATTTATTCGCTTGAAATCTCCGCGCTCATAGCGTGCGAATCAATTTCAACTACATCCAGCACAAACTCAATTTAGTTCATTTCCTTTGTTTACACAGACAAAAATCAGCAATTCCAATTTTATGAACTCTTTTCTCAACACATCGCTTCGAGATATGGAACGAATTCTCTTTTTTTTTCTCATTTCGCTTGAATGAGGTTAGGTCTTTGATCAGCAGCGATCGAGTAATAGAAACAAAACACACATTCTACTTCTACTATTTCCATTTCAAGTGCTCCATTTTTTTTATCGCATTGCAAAATTCTAAATGTTTTTTTTATGGCTGTTGAGAATGACACGAAGCGCAGAGTGGACTTTAGATTGAATCCATTCTCTGGTTGGATAAGACAATCGTTCTACTTTTCTCATTTTTCTAGTCGTATTCCAAGTTGAAATCATCCAGATGGCTTACCTTCTTTCACAATGCTGCAATTTCCACCACGACATCCGGCTGCAAGCGTATTTCCGTAGATGAAATTCGGTTGGTTTTTACTGGTTGCATTATGAACTGTGCGAAATGGAAAAAAAGAATAAAATCGTCAGTAAAAATGGTTTCTCACTGTCTCTTTCAAACGCTATAATTGAAATGGACATCAAAATATCTTCATTATTTGCAACATAATGGGAGTATGTTCCAAATAGATCTCTTGAATCGATAATGAAATGTCAATTTTGTGAGCATAATCGCCATCTAACTGGAGCCATTTTCAATTTTTCATCTCGTTGTACATGTTTCGTTCGGCAACTTTGTTTCATGTGCTTTTCATTTATAAATTAACAACGAAGATGGAAAGAATGAACGAAAAAAAAAACAACGAAATAGAAAAACGAGTTCAAATCGACATATTTGGTCATCAACAATTACTTTATCTCCGATTCAATTAGATCAATTAATCTGTTGCGAAGCGCCCAAACGAGTTTTGTGTTCGGTTCGCTCATTTTTCACATTGAATTTCAATTAAATTGCTGTCCATTTTTATTTGCAACGCTTTCTCAGTGCGATCGTGTTGCATGGAGTCTTTTTTTTATCTCTCGGTCAGTTGTTATTTGTTCAATTTATATATTATAGCTACTGTTGGTTTTCTTATGCCGCTGCGGCTTTTTTTTCTGTCTCTTTGGTGAAAATGTCTGAATTTTCATTGGAAAGTGTGTCCACACCTTTGCCACACACACACACATACTCAGCATCCATAAATAAATGGAAAAGTGTCCATAAATCCAGCGAAAACGACCAAGAAATCAGGACAAAAATAGTTGAGCGAATATAATGGATACGACGACAAAGAAAAACGAACGGCGGTCGACGAATGCGGATAGTGCATGTTGAGAGAATTCACAATAATTATTATTATCAAATGAGAAGAAACGATAGAAAAACATACAAACCACAAAAACGCACAGAAAAACGCCAAGCGATAATAAGAATGGAAATGAAAATATGAGAGAAAATCCAAAAGGTAGCGCGTTTGTTGAGGCGCAAAATAAATGATAATTTCAATGAAGAATGAAAAAAGACGACCGTGTTATTGCATGTGAACGACAACAAAAAATTAAACAGAGCAAGAGACAAAAACCCAGCAAATACAGAATTATAAATGGTTACATCGCACAAAATGCCGCACTATTAATAATAAATGAATTTTCTGCTCGTTTTCCACACGCTCTTGCCTCGAAAATGCACGACAACATACAGCCGAACCAAGCCGGTGGACACATTTTTCTATCATCTCACCCATGTTACACATCTCGTCGTTTTGAATGGCGAATTTTTGTCCAAGGGAAAATAACATCAGAAAATAGAGAGAAAAAATCGTGTGAAAAACGCACGCGCACGCTCCTAATATGAAAAGGAATAGACAAGAAAAATGAGCGTACCGGTCGCATAAAGAAAAATGACATTTTAAGAGACAAACGAGACATTTTATGTGTGAAAGACCATTTAAAATGCGTTTGCATCGCTTTTTGCGCTCGACAAGCGCGCGCGCGCTTGTGTGTGTATGTTTGCCGTGTGTCGAAAAAAACATATTTTTGTTTTGCACCATTTTCACAAAACATGCGTATTCTGTCGGTGTCGGTCTTTTGTTTCGTTATTGTGGTTTTTCTCTTTGTATCTGTGTATCAAGCTAATTCAAAATGCAGTTGAATTAAACACAGTGAAAATACGGAACGTTTTATTTTGTTGCCCGTGTCTCTCGAACAGAAAAAAATACTCGGAAAAAAAGAAACGAGAAGAAAATGGAACGAAAAATTCTCATTAAAAATGCTTAAAAAAAACACACCCATTCATTTAATATTGATTGGCCATTTGTTTGGGATCGTGTGAAAACTGAAAAGCTTTTTCGGGCACAAATGAAATATTCATGTTTGAGCTTGATTCAATTTTCGAGCGAGAATTCATGCATGGATTTGATGACGGGTCATGGACTGGCTGATTGCTAGATATCCACAGCGTGGACAGTTTTCATCGACACAAAACAAAAAGTTTTCATTTTTATTTTCCAAACATAAATAAAACGTTGAACCAAATGAACCGCTATTGGGAGGGTGAAGGTGGTGGTCGTGTTCGGTTGTCAAGCGACACAAAGCAACCAATCCACATAATAAACATTAAAATGTATCATAAATATGAAACATTTTTTGAATCGGTTGTCGAACATTCATTTTGATTATTATTTAAATTGTACTATAAATCAATTCGCGGAAATTACGCGTATATTTTTGCGGTGGCGAGACTTTTTGTATCGCTGTGTGTATTTAAAACAAAAAACAAGCAGAGAGCGGAGAAAACCGCACACCGTTTGCTTGATGTATTTCCACCGACATTTATAGGTGCAACTCTTCATATTCACGGGCAATCAGGAAAATTATAAACTTCACTTCAATCGTGTTCCTTGTCGTCGTCGTCCGTCGTCGCGGTTGTTGTTGTTGTTTTTTTTGTCGTGTTTTGCCTTGTGGCATTCTTATGAAATTTTATTTGTGGGTTGCTTTAAAAAAAGAAAAACTTTGCAGACAAAAACATAGGAAATGATAATGAAACACGCACTTTCCGTGGAAGAAACGAGTTAAATGGGGGGCGTTTGACGGCCCATCGAAATAAACGGCTTGCTGCAGCTTTAAAGAAAAACTTGAAAACAAACCGCACCAATGAATGAGCCGAGAGGGTGCACTGCAAACATGAACTGTCAATACAAGGAATTTGAAAAATTATGCATTTTTTTTGTTCAAAGTGAAATGTCGATAAAACTCCGCACTCCGTCATTAATACTGGTTTATTGGCGATTTTTTCCCTATTGCTATGCTTTAAAGCAAAAGAATGAAGGTAAAGCGTCCATTTTTATTATATTCAATTCTCTCTCGTTGACCGAAGAGCAATTTAAACACAAAAAAATGGGAATTCGAATACAAACACAGGACAAAAAAAAGAGAAGAGAATGGAATTCGCCAACAATATTATAAAATTCTTTTCAACAATTCAGCTACTCACCAATCAATAGATCGAAACTCTCCGGGTTGACAATTTGGATATCCTCTGAATGACCAAACATGAATTGAGAAAAGGAGAAAAAAAATGCTTCGTAAGTATAAATTGTTCATGGCGGAAAAAAATGAATGATTTTTTTTCTCAGAATTATGATTGAAAAGATGACGAAAAGTGAATTGAATTCTTCGTGCACATTCCTCTTTTTTTTTATAAATAAATAAAGAGTGACTGAAATAATAATCAACAATCAGATTTTCATATAAATGCTTTATTTTGCAATTTATCATTTTAATTTGTGCAAGATGTCATGACAATGGGTTAATTGAACTGAACTTGAGACTGAGACGATTGCACGGTCTACGATCGACATGACGCGCGCGAGCGCACGCCAAAATGCCACTGAATATTCATGATTTGCTAGTAAAAATCAATTCTTGTGAATGCGAAAGAAGAAAAAACCGAATGAGTATGCGTTTGGTTGATTAAGTTTAATTACTGCAACGATTGGCCAAATTGACAGGCTGAGCAGTTTGGATCACGGATATGCATTTAACTTGACAACAGACGCGCGCGCGAGAGAGAGAGAGAGAGAGAAGTGCTGTCAGCTTAACGAATGAACAAAAGACGAGAGCGTTATTCCAGGCCGAGCAATACAACGTACATAATATTCATTCTCAAATGATTTTCACTTTCTGTTTGTGTGCCACTTGCATAAATGTTAACATAAAACACAAAGTGAAGCATCGATCTTTAGATGCAGGATAAAATAAGACAAAAAAAATTATAATTATCATGGTATTGAAGCAAATGCATAGAGAGAAAAAAACCAATCTTTGACATTACTATGCATGTACGGTTGATTTTTTTCCGAGCGAATGAACACATAAAAGTTTGGCACGAATTGCAATTTATCACAAGTCTGCGGCATGCGGCCGTTGCCGTTGCTGTTGTTGTTTCTATAGTTTTTTTTAAAAAAAAAGTGCTTCAGTTGATTTTTTGCATTTTGCACTCAAATGTTCGCTCAATGCGTAGTGATTTAATGAATAATTTAATGAATATAAAACTGTAATTGCGAGTATGTGTTTGGCATGCCATGCAGACACGATTCAGTCGTTTTGTGTTAATTTTTATTGCAACTTAAAATCTATTTAATTTACATACAAACGAACGAAAGTTTAATGGCAAAAGCATGTCAAGCGATTATCGTTTTATTTTATGCGTTGCGCTTTGTTTTTTTTTCTTCTCCTTTCTTCGTTTGGTTTGTATGTGTCTCTTTTTGAAATTGTATCTCTTTTTTGTTCGGTCCGTGCATCTCATCTGTCAATAAATTTTCATTGCGAATATTTTTTCTACAGTTTGTGTATGCGGCTTCATGACATATATGAATCATGCAAAGTGAACGCAGGTACATCTGCCGATGTATGTATGTATTTTTTTGAATAGCAAAAATACATATCGAATAATAAAGTGCGTGAGTAATTAATTCAAGAGCGTGTAATTAGAACATGCTGACTGAGATGCATTAGCAACAAAACAACACAGCGTACACAGCATCAGCAGCGTATTGAGCAATAACAAATTGTACGCGTGACTCCGATTCCGAATTCGAGTGAGTGATGTACACACATTGTGTGTTGTTTGGATAAGTGCTCACTCACTCTCTCTCTCTCTCTCTCTCTCTCTCTCGCGGGCGCTGTACAACTGATGGATTGCAAGACAAAGTGCAATGCAAATAGATTGATTTCGAGAGCGAGTTGAAACAGATGTGAACAATATATATAATCCTTTGGCATGTTCACATAATACACACACACACACACCACTTCATTGTTCGATCGAATCGATTAAAATTTGTTCGTTGTACGAAAATGGTTGAGTTGGCACAGCTCTCTCTCTCTCTCGCGCGCGCGCGCGCCTTGAGATCTTCATGTGCTGATAATATAATATTGATATCTCTCGTTAATCTGAAAAATCCATTTTAATGCTAATGTCTGTTTTGTGTCTAATAAAACCAAGCCATTCTTTCCCCCCGTATCCGTACATTTATTTCGGCAACAATTATGCCGAACGCATCATACACTGCATGCAGTGAATTAAAACCACTTCACGACGAAGAGAACACCGGAGACATCATACCATTCAGCACGGTCTATATTTTCGATTTTCTCGATAACAATGCATGGGACACACTCAATGTGGGTTCGGTACGGATTCGGTAATGTGAGGTCGGACACACGGTTTTCTGCATGACATTTAAGCGGCACAAACGAAATGACTCGTACGAAAGAATCAAGACAGAAAAAACCGAGTGAGCGAGACCAAAAGGCAGATAAAGAGTGAGAGTGAGAAATGGATGAGAAAAAGAAAGACGAGGAAAAACACACGCACAAACTAATAATTACAAAATAACCCTTTTTTCCAACGGGTGCATTTTATCCAAACACAATAATTCATTGTCACTATTAGCGTGTAGTGAGCGTGTGTGTGTGTGTGTGTGTGTGTGTGTGTGTATGTATGTGCCCTAAACGACATGGCATAATATGGCTCCGTGGCGACAGATTATGCAAAATCAACCCCAATCATATCGGATTGACCAATGTTGTATAGTTTCGACGATGTTGTCGCCACTCGCTCATTCTTTCTCTTCTTCGCTTTTTTTGTTGTTGTTGTCGATGGTTTTTGTGCGACGCTGGAAAATCTAATAAAAAAAAACCCTATCGCGATGTTACATTGAATGAAAAAGTAATTGCTAGTTTGTATAAATGAATGAAAAAACGTGGTGGAAACAAAGAAAACGCAACGCATGACAACATAAAAAATTGGATATGAAATCGGAAAGGAAAGAGCATGAACGCATGGTGGCAGCGGGAACTATAATATGCTTGTAGTTTACAATTTGCATAGGGACAATACAGTGTATACACAAAAAGAGAGGATAAAAAACATGAACTATTAAAAAGGCTTGCTTACATAATAGCAATGTTTCAATTTGGATGTTTGGTGTGAGTGAATTACTGTTTGTTGCGTATGCAACTCTCGTTTCACCAAAATGATACGGGCAAAGCCTCGCTGTCTCTCTCCATCACTACGCATATGATTCATATCAATATTATTCATAATTTTTGTTGTTGTTCATTGGTTGAAATATGTATGGAGGTATATTATACGTAAATCCTTTCGATAGCCGGTAGCGTTATGCACTCGTGAGCGCATGCATTCTTAATGGGCTCAACCAATATGATCCACATGATTCACATTCACATTCACACACACAACACATGTAAGCCAATGGGCCCAATGATTGGGAGCCGCCAGATATTGAACAAATGTGTGGATTTAACAACGAATTAGTGCGATTCCAGTGCAGATCGCATCAGCAGCAGCAACAACAGCAATCGTAAGTGTTTGTTCAGAAGTGGATGTAGACGGTAAGAAATCGGCTTTCGTCGGGAGTGTTTGCGCTTAATCGCAGAGAGAAGACGATGGACGGTAGACAATTAGCACACTGGATGAATGGACGAGCGGGGTGACGATGGTGGTGGCTGTCAGAAAATATGTTTTTTAGGTCTACGCTTACGATAAAATATGCACGTTTCTCGTCGATTATCTAAGCCAAATCTAATGCCTTACACACAACCGCTTCGAAATACAACCGTCGTCATTTGTTTACTCATTAAACTTTCGATTATACTGAAAGTAGAAGCGAGAATGAGCCATGTCGGGGCACTGAAAACGTTTTCTTAGCACGTTTTTCTTTTTGGCCAGCATGAAATTTATGTTCTCGCACTTGTGGCCAAGAGTGAGCGAACGAACGAACGAACGAACGAACAAGAGAGTTAAACACATTGGATATCATTCGGTTGCATTTTGGTCGATGTTTATGACACACTTGCTCAAATGTTACGACAGACTCGAGAATGGTCTTTCTCTCCTGCTCGGGCGCAGAGAATTGCTCTGAATTTGTGGCAAGAACACCCATTTTACGATGTGTCGCGATTACAATCTCTTGTGTTGTGTGTTCGGTTGTGCTTGTTTTATTGCTTGTTCGAAATTGTTCATTTATTTTCTCGAATCGCCTTCATTGTTCGGTTTCATTGTTTCAAACCATCGTTCATTTCAGCGTTTCGCTTTTTCCATGTTATTTTGTGTATTTGTGTGCACACGAGTGCGTAATTTTGCTGTGCTCTCACTCGTCCGCCACCGCCACCAACGTCTCGAACCAGCGCTGTTTCTCTTGCTCTTGTGTATTTGTGCCGTACGCGCTTCTGTTGTGTGCCACCACGATATACATCATCCACAAAGTGGATTGCATAAAAACAATCGAAGGTAAATAGATATAAAGCTATTTTCACTGCCATTTAGCATGGAATCATTTCAATTTGATTTTCGAAGGCAGACAAATTGACAGCTAAACGTGGGGAGTTTACCCATATTTCCAATGTTGTACCGCACACGTATTGAACATGTACGCTTGGACTTGGTTTTTGGCTCTCTCTCTCTCTCTCTCTCTCTCTCTCTCTCTCTCTCTCTCTCTC